GGAGGCAGGGGAAAGGAAGTGGGTGTTAATAAGCCCAGGCAAAAGGGAACAACAAGTGATCTAAAATTGATGGTAAGGAGGGCATAGGATGCCTGGTAGGACTTGATCAAAGGTAATGTAACCGAGAGGAATTACTGAAACTCGAATGAAGACTGAACATGATACTGGGACAAGAGGAAAGGAAAAGGAAAAAGAGGAAAGAACTAGGAGGCTAACGACATTAATAGAGGTATAAATATAGGCATGTGCATATGTAAATTTATTTATATATAATGATAGGGAAATAGAATCTATGTGCATAGATTTATATGTTAAGTATTAAGGTAGATGAACATTGAGCCTTTACTCAAGTACTCCCTCAATGCAAAAACACTTTATTCTAATAACCTGGCATTCCATGATGCTCGCCTTCCTGACACTATTGCTGAAGACAAAGCAGGTGCATAAGCAAATGTGGTGAAGAAAGCTGATGGTGCCTGGCTATCAAAAGATATAGCATGTGGGGTCTTAAAAGGCTTGAAAATAAATAACCAGTCATCTAGCTGAGAAGCAACAAAGACCATATGGCAGAAGCACACCAGCCTGCGTGATCATGAGGTGTGAATGGGGTCAGGAATCAGGGCATCAAAGATCCGGAACAAAAAAATCCTATCATTGTGAATGAGGGGGAGTGTGGAGTGGAGACCCAAAGCCCATCTGTAGACAACTGGACATCCCCTCACAGAAGGGTCAGAAGGAATTGAGGAGCCAGTCAGGGTACAGGAAACATCCAACTTTCCTCTAGTTCAGTGGGTCTCAACCTTCCTAATGCTGTGACCTTTTAATATAGTTCCTCATGTGGTGATCCTCCAACCATAAAACTATTTTCATTGCTACTTCATAACTGTAATTTTGCTAAAGTTATGAACTGGGAAACCCCTGTGAACAGTTCGTTCAACCCCCAAGGGGGTCTCTACTCACAGGTTGAGAGCTGCTGCTCTAAATAGAAAGCTTGATAAACAGTCTGACTTGGTGGAACAAACTCGAAATGCACTACGAGTCAACATTTTTGTTCATTTGGGAAGTTAATGAATATCTAGCATGAGATTTGTCATCAACAGACAGCTCACCATTTTTGAAATGAGAAAACGACTCATACGCTTTCATTTTTCCCATAGCCCTGTCCTTGTAAGCGGTGTTTAACATCACAACAGTTTCTACAGCATTTTTCCCAAGCAGGAACAAAATTTCACAGCCAGACTGTTACCTTTTAAATCAGCCATCACAAAAAAACGAGGTTCAAGCAAAACTGCTTTTACAAAAAAATTCACTGTGACCAGAAAGAACCTTCCCAAGCAACACCACTGGGTGCACTAAATCAGAGAGGGTTCCTTGATGTCCGCCTACTAGGAAAAACATGTACTACGAAAGTTCCACTCCACCCAGACAATCCTGGATTGTTTGTTTTTTAATACCCCCTCGTATATATAAAAGGGCTTTAAAAATTCTTGTAAAAATTTAATGAAAAGATACTAGAATTTGTTCACAAACTTTTTCAAGGCCACTGTATATATACACACATAGAGGGAGCTTCAAAAAACCCATTGAACAATGGAATTGAAAGATAATGTAATAATTTTTCCATGAACTTTTGAAGTCCTCTTGCATGTAATTATATAATTTGCTTGGTTTTAATTGAAGAGCTAGAAGCAAAGAATATGTAAGCCAAAATTAAAAGGCAGAAATGCAAAGAGCTAAACTCTAATCTGTATTACCTTTCCCTAAGAGACATGCACTAACAGGTGGTTAAGAGATTGAAAAGCCGTGCAGCAGGTCTGAGTCCCCAGATTAGCGGTGGTCTCAGTCAGTACACATCTTACTCTAAGAGTTGTAAATTCAGAGGATCACATAGCAAGAATAAAGATGCACAGGAACCATCTGTAAATCATTTCAATCTCTGATTATACCTATGGAGAGCCCTGACAGCTGTTTCCACTGGCTAAATGCTCCTGGGAAGGAAGAATGGTGACACTTTTTCTCAGGTACTTTGTACATGTCACCAGGGGAGACCAGTCCCTGCAGAAAGACATCATATCATGGCTGGTAAAGTACAAAGGCAGCAAAAAAGATGAAGGCCCTCCTTGGATTGGCACAGTGACTCCAACCATAGGCTCAAACATAACAACAATTCTAAGGGTGGCACAGGACCAGGCATTGTTTCATTCTGCTGTACCTGGACTCCCTCTGAGCTGGAAATGACTTGATGGCACCAACAACAACAAATACAGTAACACATGTTAAAAACAATGTAACAGGCTGCTGGCTGGCTCGTTTCCAAAGAACCAGAGATAAAGAGCCACATGCAGGATCCAAACCCAACAGACAAGCAAGCTTTGCCACATACATTGGAAACAGGCCACCCTAAGGACACTTCCTTTCAGTTGATTTGGCCACTCACATCATCCTGGGGTGAGTGCACTATGTTAGACCTCAGCATGTGGCATCGCTACTTAATTGCAGAACCACTGGGAACCCTGGCGCAGTCAATATGACACAAAGCCCTAACTGTCAGAGGAAGCTCTGCTGGTGCAAAGGTTAAGTGCTCAGGAGCCAGACAAAAAGTCGACAGTTTGAGCCTATAAGAGTGCAGCTTTGGAACTTGAAGGAGTTCTACACTGTCCTATAAGATCACGATGAGTTGGAATGCCTCACCAGCAAGTTTTGGGGTTTTTTTCCGAGTTTGGTAAATCTGAGAAAGACACTGTGATTATGTCAAATAGAATGAAGAAAAAGTGATATAACACAATTCAACCTAGCTTCTGATGTATCACTTTGGCTGCATTCTGCTGTTGACATCAATGCTTACCTTTTGAACCCAGTCACCATTATTGAGATGAAAACCCAAACTTAGTCATTTGGAAAGACCATATACAGAGGGATACATGTAGCAGATGGACATTGGGCCTCTACTCAAGTACTCCCCCCAACTCAAGAACACTTTGTTCTATTAACCTGGCATTCCATGATGCTCACCTACCCGCTGAAGACAAAGCGGGTGCATAAGCAAATGTGGTGAAGAAAGCTGATGGTGTCCAGCTAACAAAAGATACAGCATTTGGAGTCTTAAAGGCTTGAAGATAAACAATCGGCCATCTAGCTCAGAAGCAACAAAGCCCATATGGAAAAAGCACACCAGCCTGTGTGATCACAAGGTGTCGATAGGATTCGGTATCAGACATCAAAGAACAAAAAATCCTATCGTTGTGAATGACGGGGAGTGTGGAGTGGAGACCCAAAGCCCATCTGTAGGCATCTAGACATCCCCTTACGGAAGGGTCATGGGAAGACAAGCCAGTCTGGGTGCAGTATATCACCAATGAAAT